TGGGATCCGAACCCTCAGCGGGAGCGCCACTGTGCTCCCAAGCGGCGCACTGTAGCAGTGCACCACCGGGCCGGCCCCTCTGCACTCGTTTTTTATTGCATTTATTTGGTTTGGCTTCTGTATTAGTTTGTTTTCTATTGCTTCTAACAGAACACCTGAAACTGGGTAATTTATAAAGAAACAGAATACATTTCTTACAGTTTTGGAGCTGGGAAGTCCAAGGTGGAAGGGGCATGCCTGGCGAGGGCTCCTTCCTGGTGGGGACTCTCTGCAGAGTCCTGAGGTGGCACAGGGCCTTATGTGGTGAGAATGGCAAGAGCATGCTGACGTGCTCCCTTTTTCTCCTTGTAAAGCCACTGGTGCCACTCCTGTGATAACCCACTCATCCATCAACCCACTGATCCATAAAAGAATTAATCCTTTTGTGAGGGCAGAGCTCTCATGATTCAGTCACCTCCCAAAGCACCCCCCCCCCATGCTGCGACACTGGGATCAGGCTTCCACATGAGCTTTGGAGGGGACAAACCTTCAGATGATAGCACCTTCTGACTTGGGATACTTTCTGAATGTGTAACTAAATGCCTCCTTTCTTCTTGTGGTCCCTTCCTGTGTGTCGCTGTTTGGGACAGGTGGTGAGCGTTGAGAAGATGGAGGACACGAGTCTGCTGCCCAACCCCATCATCGTCAGCATCCGGAGCAAGATGGCCTTCCAGTTCATCGAGCTCAAGGACAGAGACAGCTTGGTGGAGAGTCTGCTGGGGAGGCTGAGGAAGGTCCATGCTGACCACCCCGTGCGTTATGACACCTCCACGAGTGATGACATGGTACGAGCCTGCAAAGTGGTGGCGTTTCATAAATCAGAAATCCCCTTTTTCACCCCCTCTAGGGCAGTGGTCTCCGAAGGGGAGGACACAGAAAGATGATCCACATGGATACGAAAAGATGCGCTGGAGACTGTTGGGCCTGTGTGTCAGTCTGGCGTCATTTCTGTTACACTGGGTGTCCTGAGGGTTCAAAGGTACCGCCAGAAAGAAGGAAGGAAGGAAGGCATTTAATTATGTGTTCAGAAAGTTGCAGATGAGAGGGAGTGATGGGGACACTCCACAACTTGGAGGGGTGACGGGGGTCACCCTCCTCACAGGTTAGAGAGGTTGATGGTTCAAGGGGATGATGTTATCTGGGGGCAGATGTAACCTGCTGGAAGAGAAGCTTCACTGTCCATTATGCTGGACAGCTGCCGAGCTGGACTCAGACCTGCTGGGACATGGTCTCCTATTCTTTGCACCTGTCCTCCTCTTTCTTGACCTCTTTACACCCAACGCAGTGAGGGGGGAAAGGAGATCCAGTCTGTCCCTGTAGCTTCAGCTGTTTTCTTGAGGTTACTGTCCTCAGTTTCAGAAGCTGAGGGCAGCCAGGGCTGCCCATGAGAAGTGGTGCTGGGACCCAGGCTCCATGTGCCATGAGCAACCTCCCTGGTAGCTGTTTTCTTGAGGTTACTGTCCTCAGTTTCAGAAGCTGAGGGCAGCCGGGGCTGCCCATGAGAAGTGGTGCTGGGACCCAGGCTCCATGTGCCATGAGCAACCTCCCTGGGAAAATGCAGTGGGGCCATTTCTTCCCGAGGATCCAATCCTATTGGTTTGTCTGGTGTTTATCTCTTCTTCCCTTGAGTACTATAAGTCTGCTCTGCTTGTGCACCCAAAGGCAAAACAAAGACTGTCCCTTGATTAAAGCGATGGCTTTCTTCTCTCTCTTGTTTTTTGCTGTGCAGACTTCACCTGTGTTTCATTCGACAAGCATGTGCAGTGAGCATAAGTTTAAGGATCTTGAAATGGTGTCTTCTCAAAATAGCGAGGAGAGTGAAAGAGAGAAGAGCCCGCTGCTGCGCCCCGAGGCCCTGGTCGCTGTCTTCCAGCAGTCGGGCGGCCAGAGCCCCGACTCCCGAATGGTGGGTGAGGGCTCGGGCCGGGGGGGCCCTGCAGAGCTGTGCTATGGCACAGTGGTTGCCAGCTGTCTGGCCCGCCGTGGACTGTGGCCCCCTTAGTGCCCGCTCCGCAGGTTGCCAGGGGACCTAGGGACACTTGTGTTCCTGCTCTCTCCAGGAAAGCCTCCTGGTCAGAACGTGAGAGGAGTGCATTGCTGTGGTCAGATGAGGGATGGTGCCTCTCCCTACCCACTCCTGCAGCAGTGGCAGTGCTGTCCCTTGTGGGTTTTCCAGGAACAGAACAAGTCTTTCTCCTGCTGGGCAGCAGTGCCTGTGTGCACCCCTTGGTCCCGGTCACCTGTCTTCTAGTTCCATGAACTGAAAATATTTTTGCTGTATGTACTTATAGTTTTACTCTTTGTAGAAAGAATTTGCAGCAAGTGTCATGGACAGTTGGGTAAATTGACTAGATACTGAATTTTGAAATAGAGCCATGGCAGGTGGGAAGCCGTGTTGCAGCCACAAGTACCAGGTGGTGGCCACGATCAATATGACCCCAGGCTGTTTCTTGGTCACTAAATGCCTCAAGTGCAATCAAGTGTTAGCTTTTTTTTTTTTTTTTCCTTTTTGTCTTTTTTCGTGTCCGGCAACGGATCTCAACCCTCAGNGAGCGGGAACCGGTCTGTATGTGGGATCCGAACCCTCGGCGGGAGCGCCGCCACACTCACAAGCGGCGCACTGTAGCAGTGCGCCACCGGGCTGGCCAAGTGTTAGCTTTTTTTATTCAAAACAGCCTTCTCATGTACTTTACATACAGATGCTCATTAGGTCTCTTGTTGACTAAACGCACGTGAATATTGAATATATGTATTGACTTCTCCTACTACTGGAGAATACAGATAACTAAAAGCAAATATAAATATCTTGTTTAAAAGGCATTAAGTATCCCTGCCATCTAGGGTTAATTTTAAAGTATTTTCAATTGTTAGAGAAGTGATATCTTTGTCATTTCTGGTAATGAGAACAATGTGAGTTTTTCAGGTTGCAGTTTTCCCTCTGGCTGTCAGGAAGCTCAGGGCAAACTGTGATGACCCCACTGTGGTCTATTTTTCCTTCCTTCTTTCTCTCTTAGCTCCCACTTATGAGTGAGGACATGCAGTATCTTTCCCTCTGTGCTTGGCTTATTTGTTAGCCTTGCAGAGGGAGAGAGCACACCCAGGGCTGCAGAGTTGGGGAGGGGGAGGGAGGTGGGGGATTAATTGGGTGGGGGACACGGGGAATAATCGCACTTTGTGGTAACAGGCATGCTGCTAGTATTGATCTGGCCATCACATCTTGGGCACAAGTGGTGACAATCAGCTTTGTATCCCATGAATATTCATAACCAATAAAAAAAAATTGTGATAACGGCTCACTCCTCTTTGTCCTCTGAGCTCATCTGTGTTTCAGCAGCTGCTCTGGTGTCACTGTCCTGAAGAAGCTTCCCTTAAAGTTCCCCAGTCTCACCCCACTCTCCCTTCTGATCTGGGCTACTTTAGTATTTGGATTTACATATTCTTATCAGCATTGCCAAAGAAATTGCATTTTATTTGTGTAAATGCTCCCACTGGGCTCTGAGCTCCTGGGGCTGGTCCTGTGTTATTCATCTTTGCCTCCTCTGTGCCTGGTAGAAGTTCAAATGTATTTTCTGCTCCAGTTCAGATGCCATTGCCAGTCACTGCTGATTCCGCTGTTAACAGTGGCGACGCTTCCTCCTTATGGACTGTGCTGTGCAGTGCTATGGAATGGCTTTTTGTACATTAAGAATATTTCCATTTGCAGTCCCGAGAACAGATAAAAATAAGTCTGTGGAATGACCACTTTGTGGAGTATGGCAGAACCGTGTGTATGTTTCGCACAGAGAAGATCCGGAAGCTCGTCGCCATGGGGATCCCTGAATCTTTACGTGGAAGGCTATGGCTCCTTTTCTCAGGTGAGTGTTTCTGGTGTCTATAGGCCAAATGTTGTTTTTGGAGTGGACACAGGAACTGACTCTATTCTGAGCAGTGTGTGTGTGTCTGCAGATGAAGTCATCTGTCTTTGGATTATTCCTGTAAGTTCTCAGCTGAGGACTTTGGACACTTACTGTGTCAGCTGCAGGACCTGGGTCAGGCTGCCTTGGGCCTCTGGGCTTCAGTGTCCTCTTTGGTCAGTATGAGCTCTGGGTGAAGTTATCTGCTCTCCTTTAAAAATGACTTTATGAGTCTACACATAGTGCTGAGAATTTTTATTAAGATCCCGTGGAAGTGAAGTGTTTTTGTAGGAAGGACGTGAGCTCTGAGACAGACCAAACAGAGATCTTTAGACATTGTTGGCTGGCCTGGGTGACCTCGGAGGATTTCTGTTGGTTTCTATTGGTTCATCCTCTGTTGAAGACACATGGTGTCCACAAGAGGCAGAACTGCAAAAGGCTTCTCTTCTGCCCTGTCTCCTCCTCCTACTCTCCTTGACCCTTCCAGTGATGGCCTGGTCCTCAGACCTGGGGTAATGTCTGGGATCCCTCAGTAGGACACTGATGGATGGGCTGAGACTGGGACCAGACTGCTCCAGAGGCCTAACGAACAGGCGTTTGTCTGTCTCTGCACATCCACTGTGAGCATTTTTGTCCTGCTGGTCAAAGGAGCGGGGTCCCTGAGGGTGGGAAGGGAAGGCCCCTGCCATCCTGTGGTGACTTTGCTGCTCCTTCCAGGCTGCTGTGGGAGGCATGGTGAGGGGTCCCCTTCCCCGGATGGCCCTGTTGTGCTCATGTCAGCAGTGAGGCTCCCGGAGGCTGGGCCTGGGTACTGTCCCCTCCCCGTTCACTCCTCCTGGGACTGGAACCTTGCCTTGTCCTATCTCACATCGGCTGCTTGCTGGTGGCCCTGCTCCCCACCCATTATCTCTCTCCCCCCTCTTCCTTGTCTCCCCCCAAAATAGCCCATCTGCCTTCTCTCCTGCTCAGGGAGCCCAGGCACAGCTTTCATGCTTTCCAGCACACTCTTCTGTATTTTTTTTATTTTAATAAAAACAATGTATATTTATAGTTG